AAGTCCGCGGCCTCTGAGCTCGCGGCGGCGCCTCCCCTCAGCCTCCGCCGCCTCGCAGCCCGTATCCCGGCCACAGTCCCTGGAGTCCGACTCCATCGGGCAGGGGTCTTGAGGCTCAGGATGGCGGATTTCGACGAGATCTACGAGGAGGAGGAGGACGAGGAGCGGGCCCTGGAGGAGCAGCTGCTCAAGTACTCGCCGGACCCGGTGGTGGTCCGCGGCTCGGGTCACGTCACCGTGTAAGGCCCGGAGGAGGGCGAGGGCGAGGACGGGAGGTGCAGGGCTGAGGGCGGGGGGGCGGGGGAGGGTGGCTTTACTCCTCGGGAGCCCCATTTTCCCGACGTCCGTCTGGTTCCGGGGGCCTCCGGGAAAGTAGGCGACCAGGAAGTGAGAACTTGCTTTATTTTCATTTGTTTCGGTCTCCGAAGTGAGGACCTTCCTCCCCAGCAACCCTTTTAGCAGGCCTTACAGGCCTGGGGCGATAGGCAGGATCCCAGAAGGGAAGGTTTTTCTTTGGGGTCCTCCCTTCGGGACACCCCCTCAGCTCCGGGGGAGAAGGACACGCATTTTTGAGGCCCCTCCCCCTTGTTTTCTCACCCAGTTACCCCGTGGTTCGCTCGCGTGTCTGGGCCTTGGAGCCTGGTGACATATGGCTTCGACTCCGAGGCTAGATCTGGGCCGCCTGGGACCCCGGTGACGATCGGTAATGACTGGTTCGCGGTCGTTGTGTCTGTGTGCTTCACACACTGCCCGCGGGTCTCAGTTTCTCGCAGAGTCCATTTCTGCAGAACTCGTGCAAGTCCCCGTAATGGTGCATGGTGAAACTGTACAGATGAACATACGCTTAAAATCTGCAGAACGGTCTATGTGTACAAATAATTTAAAAAAAAATCTCTGATAGGACGTACTTCTCAGGTTACTAAGGGTTCTTTGAAATATGAGTCCCTCTTTTGGGCATGAACTCTGGGATGGCTTCTTCATTTGATAAAGGTCCTTGAAAGTCTGAATTGGGAACATTTAAAAGTCCGGTATTATTCAAACAGTAAGGAATGGTAGCTTCCTGAATGGTCATGACTAATAAAGGAATGTGAAGACTGGACCAAATTACGAGCTGGCCGGAAGCAGGAAGTTTTGTAATGTTTCTCTGAGAAGTCCAGAGTTTTGTACGACTTGAACTATTTATACTCTTTTTTTCCTCTTAGATCTCTTGTTCAAATCATAGGGTCAAATGCCCCATGCTTGTCAGATATTTCCACGTTTCTACCTTTTCAGTAAAATAAAAGGGCCAGCAAATCTGAGACTCTTAACAGGTTCCATTCGTAGCGGTTCTCAACCTGTGGGTCGCGACCCCTTTGGCGGTGGAACGACCCTTTCACAGGGGTCGCCTAAGACCATCCTGCATATCAGATATTTACATTACGACTCATAACAGTAGCAACATTACAGTTATGAAGTAGCAACGAAAATAATTTTATGGTTGGGTCACAACATGAGGAACTGTATTTAAAGGGCCAGAAGGTTGAGAACCACTATAGGGTGTTTGGAATGTGTAATTGAATAACTTTAGTGAAACAGTAAGACTTCTCATATAAGATTCTCAGGAAAATCCTTGCATTTGTTAGTACATGATATGACTAGTGGTATTGCTGTTAGGCTATGTTTATATATAATGCTTTAATTTCTTTAGCCCCTGTTAGTTTATATTCAGGTGACTTATAGGGTAAAAACTGCATCATCGCTGTCACAGCGCCATGAAAAGACAATGAAATTTATCACCACAGTAGCAGTTACTGTTTATTTTTTTAAATTATATTTTTATTGATTTCAGAGAAGAAGGGAGAGGGGGAGAGAGAGAGAGAGAGAGAAACATCAATGATGGGAAAGAATTATTGATTGGCTGCCTCCTGCATACCTGCTACTGGGGATCTAGCTGCAATCTGGGCATGTGCCCTGACTGGGAATCAAACCTGGGACCTCTAGGTCTATGGGACGATGCTCAATCCACTGAGCCACCACAGCCGGACAGTTACTTAATGTTTTAACTGTCATCACCAGCAGAATTAAGAATTATAACCAAATATCATGGATATTAAATCTTTAACATATTTCACAGAACTTTTATTTTACTCTCATAACCGGTTATTTAATTTTTAGCATGACTTTTTAAAAGTGTTTTAAATCTAAGGAGTATGTGGATGCTTAAAGAAGGGATTTTCAAACTTTTTCATGCTATCTGCCCATTTCCCCCCCTAGGTTCCTGATGTCAAAGAAAAACTGGCAAAATTTTGGTATTTAAAAAGGTACAGCCATAGTTGTAATGTTTCCTTTTTTTTAAGGAAAAGAAAAGCTAAGCATTTATTTGGGGTAAATGGAAAATATAAAAGGCAAAATGTTCAGAACCAAATAGGTGATCAGTTAATTTGATTGTAGTTGGCTACCAGAGAGTTTTAACAGGGTGAGAGAACTACCAGTGGTTCTCAGTCTTAGCTGCCGGTCAGAATCATCTGGGGAGCTTAAAAAACAACAACCTGCCTTTGCCCCAGGCCAGGCCAGTGGAAGGCCAAGTATCAGAGTGAGGGTCCCAGGCTTGGGTAGTTTTTTTAAAAAAGTCCCACCGGTGATTTTTATGTGTAGCCAGGATTGCAGGCCACTATTTCAGAGTAGTATACAGAACTATATGCCACCAGTAAACAGCATTCTTTTCTACATTGGGAGTTAATATTTCTGTGATTTCCCTGAACCACTTCCCTCTCTTCCCTGTTACCTTGGTTTTAGGTTCTGGGTTGCAATCTATAGTCTGTCACTTCTTGGGTAAATTACGTATTTGTGCCTCTTCAGTTAAGATAGAGATAGTTATAGTCCTGAACTTTTAAGATTATTAAGGATTAAATGAGACAATACTTTCAAAGAATTAGTCACGTTGTGTGGTACTGTGCTCAATAAATATTAGCCTTTATTAATTATCTTCCACACATGTAGTATTTCACTTTGAGAAGCATAGGTGTAAAGAAATCTGAACTGCTGTTTTTAAACCTAACAGTGATTCACTTTGTCTTATTTCCATTTCTAAAATATTTGCATGAGGTTAAATTATGTGAAGTATTTCGATGAGAATTATTGAGAATATCTCTGATTGAAAATCTAAGCCTGGCCCTAGCTGGTTTTGCTTAGTGGATAGAGCAGCCGTGGGCAAACTACGTTTGAAATGAATAAAACTAAAAAAAAAAAAAGGCCGTACCCTTTTATGTAATGATGTTTACTTTGAATTTATATTAGTTCACACAAACACTCCATCCATGCTTTTGTTCCGGACCTCTGGTCCAGTTTAAGAACCCATTGTGGCCCTCGAGTCAAAAAGTTTGCCCACCCCTGGGATAGAGCATTGTCCCGAAGACTAAGGGTCCCGGGTTTGATTCTGATCAAGGGCATGTACCTTGGTTACAGGCTCGATCCCCGCCCCCCTCCTCTGGTGTATGTGGGAGGCAGCCAGTCGATGTGTCTCACATAGATGTTTCTCACTCTCTGTCTCTCCCTTGCTTCCACTCTATTTAAAAATCAATGAAAAAATATCCTTGGATGAGGATTAACAAACAAAAAGGAAATCTAAGCCTGTTTTGTGGTGACATAGATAGGTATAGTAATAGTAATACAGAACTTTTAACTTTTTTTACATGACTTTGTCATGCATAATTCACAAGCATACCATGCCAATGGGTAGCCCAGTTAATGCCTATTGTACCTTTAAAAGTTTTTGAGATTAGTGCTTAGGAAAGTTACTGTAACTGTTGAGCCTGTTCAGTTTTTCTTGCCTTTAAATGGAAAGAGCTATTAAAACAGTTATAGTAAGAGTGGCTGAACTTATCACTCACTGCCACTGCCCTGATTCCTTTTTTAAAACTAAGGAGTGGTCTTTCCTTACCAATTTGAAAATAAATGATATTGTTTACTGAGTCATCTGTAATCCAGATTAGTTGGAAAAGCTATAGGTCAATATGTATTTTTCACAGATTGCACTTTTGAGTAGACCTTTATAGTTGAATATTTCCCTTACTTTAACATATCATAGTATAAAATTGCTTTTACTTTATTTTAGAAATCACTGTATTTTCATATGATATCATTTGGTATGTTATTATAGTGGTGTGAAAAACTAAATTATTTTCCATTCTCTACTACACAGGCAGGTCTTGGTTAATTTTGGGACATAATGAGATTTTTGGGACATAAGAATGTAAAAAGTATAATTTACCTAAACAAAGTCTACTTTAATGTGGTTTTTAATAACAGTGTTTTCATATTGACTCCAAATTAGACTTATACTTTGTAATTTCATCAGGATCATCATTCTTTCTTGACATTCTTCTGGATGAGTATAATAATTTTCTTCATTGTTAGATTTGCATGTAGCAATATGGAACAAGATGGCAGCTCCAACAGAGAGAAATCTTGGCAGGAGCATATTTTGACAAAAAGTCATATTTGAAGGAAGAGAGGGAAATGATAAGTTCCTGTTATTGTATAATATTTATGTATATGTAATTTAAAAGACTTGAGTTCACACTTAATTAAAGTAGGTTTCCGTGTGTGTGTGTGTGTGTGTGTGTGTGTGTCGGGGGTTGTATTTCTCATTTTATTATGTAAGGAAGATGAGGGAAAAAGTGATTAACTTATTAGGTAGAACTGGCCAGTTTGGTTGATATTTAAAAATTATGGAGTTCTTTACTCCTCAAAATAAATTTGTACAAAATATAATGATCATTTGTTGAAGGCTTTGATTTTTCACAATGGTGGTAGTGCTAAAGGATGTGTTAACCTAAAAATTAGAATTTAAATCTAGTTTTGGACCAGTATTTCCTAACTAATCTACAATTATAACTGACACTATTTTTTCCTTTTCACTTAGTCATGACCTCCTATATCAGAATCAAACTTGGAGCTTTTCTAATGTTTGAGTTCTAATTTAAGCCCTTTATAGAGCCAAGTTATTTTGCTGCAGTTTGTTTCTAATGTTATTCTTTTCTTATTTCACTAAATTATCATGTTTTCATGTACTCACTTCTGAGGTATAATTTTCCTATCATTGCCACAAATAATTCCTCATCCTTCACCAGTTTTTTTTCACCTCTAATTGCCCAACATTTATTGAAGTATGTTAATAATTGCATATTAATTGATTCCTTTGTTAGAAGATTTAACATATCAATAAGTAGGCTATACCAAATGGCTCCTTCGCTATATA